TGAAAGTGATTTTATCATTGATTTCCTGAAATACATGAAAGTGATTTCATCATTGATTTTCTGAAATACATGAAAGTGATTTTATCATTGATTTCCTGAAATACATGAAAGTGATTTCAGATTGATTTTGTGAAATACATGGAAGTGATTTCATCAATGGTTGTGTGAAATACATGAAAGTGATTTCAGATTGATTTTGTGAAATACATGGAAGTGATTTCATCAATGGTTGTGTGAAATACATGAAAGTGATTTCAATAATGGTTTTCTGAAATACATAAAAGTGATTTCAGATTGATTTTATGAAATACATGAAAGTAAATTCACTATGATTTTCAAAGTTAATGAAAACTTCTAAAGGAAGTCATATTTGTATGACTCAGATCCGATTTGTAAAAATTGATCTCAAAGATGATGAAAGCTTCTCACGAAAGTCTTATATCTACGGTTGAGATCTGATTTGTGAATCAATCTTAGAGATGATGAAAGCTTCTCATGAAAGTCTTATATCTACGGCTGAGATCTGATTTGCAATCAATTTCAGAGATAATGAAAGCTTCTCATGAAAGTCTTACGTCTATGGTTGAGATTTGATCATCTGTTCAGAGTAATAGTAAGAGTAGAATCCTTATAAATTACGCAGTTTTTGGTGACAAACATCATCAACTTCTTGTATTTCAAGCCTTTCAAAGTTCCCAACTCTTGAAGCTTTAATCATGTCTTCCTCTTCTTCCAATGTTAACCCAAATCTTGTTCCTGCAGTAGAGCCTATAGTTTGGCGTACTACTTTTGAAGTGAATGGTCGTCCAGTTACAATAGAAGATACTGTAATGGACAATGAAGATACTACTGTAGCCGTGGCTAAAGACATGGTCCTTCCCCGTGATGAAACCATGCTGGCAGCTAGGAGCGATATTGAAGCAGTGAATCAGTCACTTGCTCTCAGTATCAGAGCTACTTCATCTCTGGTGAACGTTGCAGAGCGTCTTCATGCTAGAAGACTTGAGCTGAATACTCAGGTTCTTGATCTCCATCATCTGATTGAGAATTTAAGGAATAGACTCCGTGATGAAAGATGTCAGAGAAATGACTTGGAGAGGAGGAACCAAGAGCTGAATACACGTGTTGACTTTTGGAAGGACTATGTTAACACACGACACCTCGAGTTTGAGGAAGAGATGGAGAATATGCGTAAACAATTCGAAGAACTTCGAGGCCTGATTAATGATCAAGATGACAATATCCCTGATCGTCCTCGCACTGTTTAATATTTGTACTTTTAAACCTTTTGTCATGAATAAAAAATCCATCTTTCTTGTCTTCATTTATGAATTTTGCTTTCATGAAATTGCCATATTTGATGTGATTAGAATAACTTCATTTTGTCTGAATCTCGTTGGATCCCATTGGGAATTTTGTTTCAAGAAATATCTTCAAGATAAATATGCAATGTTTGTGAAGTTAGATGATATGAGATGCATCTTACCTTTTTGAAATATAGATCCCCCATTCATCTTGTCTGGCGATCTTGAATGTTAGCAAGCTCTTTTGATTCACGCGTCTTTCAAATCTACTCAAGCTGACCCATGCTGTTGAGTTCTCCAAGATAAACGTTATTTGAGTTTCTCAATAGTCACTGCCTCTTTATCCATTGGATACTTCATTGTGAGAATTAGCTTCTCTCTGGTCTGGCATCATGTTGTTGGTAACATTTCCGTTGTTGAGGATTTTTAACCAATTCATATGGTCAATACATGAGGATAATCCCACTCATTTTTCATGTGTATCTCCCACCAGGGAAGCAAATTTCTTTGTACCATTAGGAATCCGGTGATTGCTTCTCTGTCTCTAGAAGATTTCTTGTGATTGCTTCTCTACCCTTGGAAGAAGTAACTGTCTCTTTTCATTTCCTTATTTGCTCTTGTTGTCGTTAGAATCTCTGATTTTCTAACACTGCCTCTTGGTGTCTCATATATCTGTCTTCTTCGCATAGAAAACCATTTTTTTTCAAAAATGATTTTTCAAAAGATCTCTTTTGTTTTTGAAAACTGAAACTCTCAATGTTTGTTTATAACAATGTTCAAGCAACTCTAAGGATTTGTAGTAAATCTCTCAATAAAAGTAATCTCAAATAAAGGTAAGTGATGAGATGACCTTCTGCTTTGGTTTTCAATGTGTTCAAGCAATCTTGAATGTATTTTGAGGGAAAAGGAACAATTGTCCTTTATTTTTAGAAGCAGTCCTTTTATCAGCATGAATAATAATGAGTAATTATTTGCTATATCATGACTCTTTATGAAAAAGTCTCTTATATTTTGGGAACGCTGTTTATTAATTCAGGTTGCTTCCTTGATTAGAAAGGACTTTAAAGGCATGTAATGTATTTATGGCTCAAGGCTGTAAAAGAAAGAGGATTTCATAAGCTCAAAGAAAGTGTTTAAGGGTTTGAAAACTATAGATCACTGTTATCTTATCTTCATCTTTTCTTTTGCTATCTTGACAACAAAATGATACTAAATATTCCAAATTAGGAATTTTTTCTATTTGTTGGGAATTCTCTCAATTATTTGGAATTTTTTATTTGAATTCCTTGTTGTCAAACTCATAAGCTCACAGGTCTTCAAGATGATTTCCATGATCATTTCTTTCATTTTGCCCCCAGTGTAGGGTGTGATCTTAGTTAAGGTTCTTATGAAAAAAAACTTTAAATAGACTCGGCTCAAATTGGGACTGCAAAGGATAATTTTAAAAGAAAGTGAAAGGAATATCAAAGATGGCCTTTCTTCATTTCAAGCAAGATCGGTTAAAACCAATAAACTTTGTCCACATCCAGCGTAATGTTTTGGATTTATAAGATACCATGTTTTGCAAGTCCATGACAAGCTAATGTACTACCAACCATTATTCATGCTGATAAAATGTAAGTCCAAGACAGAATTTAAGTGATAGTTGTTCCAATTGCGTGTTCTTGACTTGTATGGTCATCTCTTTCAAGAGAATTGCTTTGAACATTATCCTAAACAAATCATTGATTTATTTCATTGAAATCATAAACAAAATCAATTCTTTTAAAACCTCATTTAAGAAGAATGGGTTCTCTTGTAAAAAAAACATTTGAAAGATCAGATTGTTGAGCCATTGAGATCATGCATGGGCTTTTTGGTGAGGTATATGCAAAGAGAATTTCCTGGCCAAAACTTCATTTCATTTGATTTTGATTGGATGAAATACATCATACATAATACTTTTTCACAGAATCAGAGTTCACGGGCCTAGGTAAATCCTCTCCATCCATCCTAGTTAACAACATAGCCCCTTCGGAGAAAGCTTTCTTCACTACATATGGGCCTTCATAGTTTGGTGCCCACTTGCTTCGGTCTTCACTTGGTAGTGGTAAGATTTTTTTGAGTACAAGATCCCCTTCTTTGAATTCTCTTGGTCGGACTTTCCGGTCATATGCTTTGGCCATCCTTCTTTGGTATAGCTGGTGATGACAAATTGCGGCCAACCTCTTCTCACTTATCATGTTTAGCTGCTCATATCTCACTTTAACCCATTCAGCTTCTTCTAGTTTAGATTCTATTAGTACTCTCAAAGATGGAATTTCTACTTCCAAAGGCATCACCGCCTCCATCCCAAATACTAGTGAATAAGGTGTAGCTCCAGTAGACGTTCTTACTGCTGTGCGATATGCATGTAGAGCAAAGGGAAGCATCTCATGCCAATCCTTGTAATTAACTACCATCTTCTGGATAATCTTCTTGATATTCTTGTTTGCAGCTTCGACAGCACCATTCATCTTTGGTCTGTAGGGAGATGAGTTTGAATGTTTAATTTTCCACTTCATGCACAATTCTGTGATCATTTTTCCATTAAAATTCTGGGCATTATCGGTCACTATCTTCTCAGGTGAACCATATCGACAGATCAAATCTTTCTCAATAAAACTCTTGACCACCTTTTGAGTTACATGGGCATAAGAGCTGGCCTCCACCCACTTTGTGAAGTAATCAATGGCTACTAAGATAAATTGATGCTTATTGCTGGCTTTTGGGTTGATTGGCCCAATCACATCTATTCCCCACATTGCAAATGGCCATGGTGATGTCATATTAAATAGAGGAGTTGGAGGTGCATTTATCTTATCACTATACACTTGACATTTATGACATTTCCTGACATAATCGATGCAATCTTTCTCCATGGTCATCCAGAAATACCCTGATCGTTGTAATTGTCTAGCCATCATATGCCCACTTGCATGAGTTGCACAAATTCCTTCATGAATTTCTTGCAATGCTAACTTAGCTTCGATTTCATCTAGACATCTCAGTAAAGTCCCATTGAATGACCTTTTGTATAGAATTTCTCCATCCAGGTAAAATTCCAGAGCTAACCTTCTCAAGGTCTTCATATCTGCTTTGGATGCCCCCAAGGGATACTCTTGATATTGGATAAACTGCTTGATGTCATGAAACCATGGGTTCCCATCTATTTCTCCTTCAACTGAACAACAATGAGCTGGAAAATTTCTAATCTCAATGCAGATTGGTTGTACTCTTACTCCGTAATCAGTTTTGGCCATAGAAGCTAAGGTTGCCAAAGCATCAGCAAACTGGTTTTTGTCTCTTCCCATGTGGGTAAAATCTATCTCATCAAAGCCCTCAGTCAGTTTCGAGAGATATTGTTGATATGGTATCAATTTTTCCTCCTTGGTCTGCCATTCGCCTTTCACTTGACAGATTATTAACATTGAATCCCCATAGACATCAAGCTTCTTTATTTTCATCTCCAAAGCAGCTTCTAATCCAAGGATACAAGCCTCATATTCAGCAGTATTGTTAGTGCATTCAAATTGTAGTTTGACTGAGACGGGATATTGCTTCTTGTCAGGTGAGATTATCACAGCGCCTGCTCCATTACCAGAAACATTCACTGCCCCATCAAAATACATGATCCACCAATCATTCTTTTCTTTGTCCTCTTCTACTATCAACATATCCTCATCCGGGAAGTCAAATTTCAAAGGCTCATAGTCATTGATAGCATTATCTGCTAGATGATCAGCAATTACACTTCCTTTTACAGATTTTCTTGTCTTGTATACAATGTCATACTCAGCCAACATCACTTGCCATCTTGCTATTCGGCTTGACAAGTAGGGTTTCTCAAAGATGTATTTAAGAGGATCCATTTTTGAGATCAACCAGGTGGTATAATACAACATATATTGTCGAAGACGCTTCGTACTCCATACAAGAGCACAACATAGCTTCTCAGTCACAGTATATCTGGATTCACAATCTGTAAACTTCTTACTCAGATAATAGATAGCTTGCTCCTTTCTTCCAGACTCATCATGTTGTCCCAACACACAACCCATTGCTACCTCAGTTACTGTCAAATACAAGATCAAAGGTCTTCCAGGCACAGGGGGCACGAGTAAAGGTGGATTCTGTAAGTATTGCTTTATTTTATCAAAAGCCTCTTGACAATCTTTGTCCCATATACCAGGGTTCTTTTTCCGAAGTAATCGAAAAATTGGCTCACATGTTGTTGTTAACTGGGATATGAATCGAGCAATGTAATTCAAACGTCCTAAGAAACCTCTTACTTCTTTCTCAGTCTTAGGAACTGTCATAGCCTGAATTGCTTTCACTTTATCAGGATCGACCTCTATTCCTTTATTGCTTATCACAAATCCTAGCAACTTTCCAGACTTTACCCCAAACGAGCATTTTGAAGGATTTAGCTTCAACTGATACTTTCTTAGTCTTTCAAACAATTTTCTTAGAACCTGAACATGATCTTCTTCATTCTTAGACTTGGCAATCATATCATCCACATACACTTCAATCTCTTTATGCATCATATCATGGAAAAGTGTCACCATTGCCCTTTGATATGTGGCTCCAGCATTCTTCAACCCGAATGGCATCACTTTGTAGCAGAATGTTCCCCATGGTATGACAAAAGTGGTCTTCTCTTTATCTTCTTCAGCCATTTTAATCTGGTTATAACCGGAAAATCCATCCATGAAGGAGTAAGTTGAACTCCTAGCAGCATTGTCTACCAGGACATCTATATGAGGCAAAGGAAAATCATCCTTCGGACTGGCTTTGTTTAGATCCCTGAAATCTACACATACTCTGATTTTGTTATCTTTTTTTGGTACCACCACTATATTAGATACCCATTGAGGGTATTTAATAACTTCTAGAAAACCGGCATCCCACTGCTTCTCTATCTCTGCCTTGACTTTGAGCACAATATCTGGGCGAGTTCTTCTTAATTTCTGCTTAACAGGTTTACATCCTTCTATCAAAGGTAATCTGTGTACTACAATATCAATGTCTAAACCAGGCATATCTGTATAAGACCAGGCAAACACATCGATATACTCTTGTAGTAATGAGGTTAAACTGCATCTTTCTTCTGTAGTGATCAGAGTTCCAATCTTTAACTCTCTTTTATCTTGCTCAGTGCCTACATTTATCACCTCTAGTTCTTCCTTCGCAGGTTTCCAAACATGCTCCGACTGTTCTACCCGTCTAGCAAACTCTTCATCCCATTCCTCTTCATCCATTGCAATCTCATCCTTATCAAAGTTTGGCCATTCATTTTCAATGCAATATGTTTGTGGATTTATGGAGGATTCACTTTCAGAATTCCTGAAAGTGGAAGGTGTTTTTTAGTGTGAATGCATATCTTGTAGCCAAACAAAATAAAAGGAATTCAACAAATACTGATGAAAATGCTTGATCTCAATATTATTTTAAAGGTTGACTCAACAATTATGAAAAGACCTTATGTTGTCATCTTGAACCAAGATTTCCAACTAGGTATAAAATCACAAAGCAAAGTACAATGCAAAGCACATAAAAGCAAATATAAGTAGACACTTAATCATTACTTCTTGAAAACAATTGGGGCTTCTTCAATCTCCCAATTCTGGAATACTTCTTCAACTGAAAGCTTTCGCACAAAAGCGTTGGTTGGAGCTTCTTCTAGAGCATGGACAGTTAACTGTGGTAACAATTCATCTTCTTTTATTATTATTGGCTCATCATCACAGTTCCAGCCTTTCTCTTCACCTTCTTCTACATTGTTGATATCCATGACAGCAAGTTTCTGCCCCAAGACTTCCATCATGTTTTCAGGTTTCATCACATATGCTGACTTTGGAAAAGAAACATGGATAGGTGGGATTGCAATGTCTTCTTCTTCTGGCTTTCTTCCTTCTATTCTGGCCAACCTTCTCTCTCGCTTTATCCTAGCAGCTCTCTTATGATCATCTTTCTTAGGCTTGAAGCCAAGCCCAAACCTCTGATCAACGACCTTAATTTTCATCATGTTGACTCTTTTATGATTTCCAGCAATTAGATCATTCTGGAATGGCAGCCCATGTTTTAAAAAGCATTTAGCTATCATTCTAGCAGTACTAGAAATAGCTGGTCTTCTTAACACAGTATTCTCCGGTACCCATTCGGTGTTCACAATCTCGAAGGCATGGAGATCTCCATCTTTGCAATCTTCTGCTTCAATATAAGGGACCGCCACATTCCTTATCATGGACAAGGTTTCTTCTGCCTTAACTTTCACTAAAGTTCCATTGATGATGTACTTCAGGCATTGGTGTAGAGATGATGTCACAGCCCCAGAGGCATGTATCCATGGCCTTCCTAATAACATGCTATAGGAAGGATGGATATCCATCACTTGTAGGGTTATCAAAAACATTTGAGGCCCTATAAACAATTCAATATCAATGGTCCCTATCACCTGTCTAGGGGAACCATCATATGCTCTAGCCGTCATAGTACTTGGCCTCATATGAGTAGCATCAATTGGCATCTCATCCAGCATATACCTTGGTAACACATTCAAAGCTGAACCATTATCCACAAGCACTTTGCCGATCAGACAGTCCTTATATTTCACAGTGATATACAAGGGCTTGTTATGCCCAGTCCCTTCCGGGTCTAGCTCATCTTCAGTGAAATATAAGTAATTGGAGGCTTGAATTCTTCCCACCAAATGCTCCATTGTATCCTGAGTAATATCATGTGGCACATATGCTTCATTCAACACCTTTTGCAATGCTTTACGGTGTAACTCAGAACTCAAGATAAGTGACATTAAAGAGATTCTAGCAGGAGTTTTCTTCAACTGATCTACTATACTATACTCACTATGCTTCATCAACTTCAGAAATTCATTAGACTCCTCTTCACTTATGGGTTTGTTCACTTCCATATCTTTAAAAGCCTCAACTGTTTCTTTTCCTTTAGCTTTCCTCTGCCTCTCTAATTCTTCTGGTGTAAAACAACGACCACTTCGAGTTAAACCACCGATTTCTGTATGGAAGACAGGAGTAGGATTTTTAACGTTGAAAGCATACCCATAATTGTAAGGCATTGTGCCATAACTTCCATTATTGGTACATACAGGCTTGATTAGGATTAGTTTTGGCGGACCACCCACAGTTGGTTGGAGTCTACAAACCTCTTTTTTTTTCTCCTGGCTGCCTATCATTCCCACTTCACTGCTTTCTTCTTCACTTTCTATCCGTATCATGCCGAAAATCAACATCCTTTTCACTCTTTGGTGAAATTCTTCGCAATCATCAATGTGATGTCCCACCTTGGCATGAAACTTACAGTAATTATTTCCATTCATTACTGGTTCAAACTCGGATAAATATCCAGACTGTACCATCATACCGTACAGTTTTTCCATGGAAACCTTCAAAGTTCTTTCCTTCTTACCCTCTACTCCGATAGCATTCACCCCTCCACTGCTTGTAGCATGATTGGGTAAAGGGTTGGAATTCACATTCGGTGCATCATCAAAAGTTATCCATCCAGCTTTTATCAATTGAAGGAGCTTGTTTTTGAATGCATTACAGCTTTCAATGTTATGCCCAGCAATGCCAGCATGATATTCACATGTCATATCAGGCTTATACCAATTTGGGTATGGAGGTTGTAGTGGGGTTAAAGGAACAGGGGCCACTTGCCCAATACTCAACAACTTCGAATACATTTCTCCCAAGGGAAGTGGTAATGGTGGCAATCGTTCTTGGGTTCTTTGAAAATTCTTTCTTGTAGGATTACCAATCTGGTTACTTTGTTGGTCATTTGGTTGGTTTTG